ATTTGTCCGGATATGTGAAGCGTCCGGATATCTGAATTACCATTTAAACAAGACAAAATAGCATTTAAAAATTCCGTTCCGATGAAAAGTCGTCCGGATACTGAAGCATCCGGATATCTGGCGTCCGGATATCTGAAGGTCCACTGTAGATATTTACACAAAAACACAAAAGAGATTTGTCTTGGAAATACATGCTTGTATGGGAGTTTATGGCGTTTTATTTTTTTTTAATTGCAAGTCAAATTCAAAAGACAAGGTCAAAAGGTCAAAATTGTTAATATTTAAAGGTCTTATCACAAGTGATATACCTGTGAAAAAAGAAAGCCTAGTACGATGAGCTGAAACGTAATGGCCAAAGTTAAAGTTTAGAGATACAGTCGACCAAACTCTGGGGTCAAGGTAAAAACGTAAAAAAAATTTATATTCATTGAAAGGTCTTGTCCAAATTGATATCCTTGTCAAGTATAAAAGCCTTAACACTTACTGTTCAAAAGTTATGAGAAAGTTGAAATGTAGATACTAATTGTTAAAGTCTGTCAAACCCTCAGGTCAAGGTCAAAAGGTTAAAAATGATGGTACCTGAAGAAAGGAGAAAGCCGTAGTCCTACCCGCTCAACAGTTATGGGCAAGGGCAAACTATTTACTAACAAACAACTAGAAAGACAGGCAGATAGTTAGATAGAAGAAAATAGATAGACAGAAGGATGGGCAGCGGAAAAAATATATGCCTCCGACTCTTCAATCACAGAGACATACATATTTCATTATTTTCGAATGATAAACATATAAAACTCTCTGTGTTCAAAAAAAAAAAAAAAAAAAAAAAAAAAAAAAAACAAAGTTTATCTCTAATCTTTTAAAAATCTTTCCCCCGATGTTTTTCTTATAACACAAGGTTCTAATATAGTAAAATTATGTTTCAGTTAGAATAATAATTGTACTATTCAAATCCTTTGTAGTTCTGTTTATTTGAGTGTAAAATGAATGGAATTGTTTCTTTCAGAACAAAACTTTTGTGTGCCTAAATTTGTCCTGCATAATCATACAGATAAATTTTTCATTGTACCAAGAAAAACCTGTGTGGCGCCTGACGTGTTCTGTTAAAAAAAAATAAAGAAAAACTAGTAAACTAGTTCACAGAACAATTATGGGTCTTTCCATCTTCTTTGAATTTTACACTTTAAAGTTGTTTTATATGTAAAAAGAAATGGCGTAAAAATAAAAAAAAAAATTAAAATTAAATTTTTTTTAATGACATTGACCTTTGACCTGATAAATATTTCAAGGTTAAATTTCATGGGTCACAATGCAATTAACCCCATGCCTCTATGACTTAAACTTTTAAAGTTATAAGGTGTAATAGTAAGTGCAAAAACGTTAAAGGGCAATAACTCATATAAGGGGTCAGCAGATCCCTACGCACTTAACATAAAAGTTATGCCTAAAGGCCCGTAAGACAATGATGAAGGTTTCATGTCTCTGCAAGGTTTTTTTCGCACAATGGGGCAATAACTTAAGAGGGTAAATCTTAGGGGACAAAAATCAAATCTTTAAAATAGTTTTAGAGTACATATTATTGGTGCAAGGGCAAAATGTATATGTTAAAAGACAAAAGAGATATAAAAAAGGCTTAATTTTTCGTTTTTGAAATGACCTTGCCTTTGACTTTTGAATAAATTTAAAGGTCGAAGGTCAATGAACCTTAAGCAGTTGGTCCCATGTCTCAACGACTTCTCGTTTTTAATTATTCAAAAACTGTCAGGGGCAATAACTCATAGAAGGGTTCAATGAATACTTTCGCAATGAAAAGATTTTAAAAAAAAGGTCCTCTCAAGTGGTCGTAGACATTAGTGAAGTTTCATATCTCTACGGTTTACGGTTTCGGAGAGGTAGCGATAGCAAACATTTCTTGTGAAAGGGGCTATAACTCCGAAAGGGTTCGAAGTACATATACGTAGGGTCCAAAGAGACCAAGCAAGGTTAAGGCGAGAGAATAACATCGCAGATGTCCAAGATTTCTTTTGTTGCTTTCCGTTTGGAAATAATTGAACCCTCCTTTCCCCTATAAATTAAGCAGGGGTTTAAAAATCTGGGCTACTGTCGTGAACACGACATTTTATATCTTCAATGTTAAGGTCACTTTTCCTTATTTGCTGACTACGATACGTATTTTAAACTTTTAATAATAAATGTACTTTTAATAATTTTATTTGCTAAGCAATCACAATAAAGATCTTGATATATTTGAATAAAGCCTTTTTTCTCACCTTTACCGATAAGAAAAGAATACGTCGTTTGCTTAAAAAAAAGATATTTTGTACTTAGCACAAATCTTGCATCAAATTACTATGAGCAACGCATTAAAAGTCAGATTGCAGTTATTCACTGTTTTTCATGTATGTTTTATTAAATTAACTTCTGATGAAAAAAGTACGCTCAGACGAGCGTTTCAATATTTAATATATCAATACTGTTTAACCAGAACATTTAAAATATTTTTTTAGTTTCTAGAGCTACAGAATTTTCCAGGTGTGGTAAAATCATTTTTATAATATATGCATAGTTCTGTTAAAATACGTGGCCATCAACAAAATAAAAAAGAATCTTTGTGGCCTACATGTATTAGACAGATGCTAAAGCCAAACCTAATAAACAATTTGGCTTATTATGACAATTTAGCTTGTATCGGATAAATAGTCTATTGTTTTGGAAAACTGTTTTCAAATTACTGTGAATAACAAAATTCCCGGACGTCTCATATTTGCGATGGACATTTATTCTTTATCATGTTTAAAAGCGAAACAGATTTTTCACGAACCAAGGTTTGTGTTCTTTACGAATATAAATTTCACAGCAATGCTAACTTTGAAACTTAATGTCTCCTGAAATTGGAAGAAAATAAAGTAATTGCAAATCAAAAATTATTTACAACATTATTATATATTTTAAATCAATCCAACCAATTACGTCAACGTTTCTACGGTAACCGTCCCTGTATAATAATTATACTCGAATCACTAGAATACTAGAATATGGTGCGAATGTCTCTCCGTTCATCCAAAAATATACACCAGAGTATGCTCTACGTTAGGCAATTTCTAAACCGTGGGAATTTATGGAAAAAAAGTAGATGTCGGAAACAAGAATATCAGAATTTTTTCTGCTACTCATCTGTATATTAGCTGATTGTTTTTTTCAAATTTATTTTCTTTTGTTAATTAATAACATATTTGTTAATTAAGATATGTTTACTAACATGGAATGTTTATTGTGGAGAGAGTCATTGGTACGGAAATCTTGCTACTCGGTAGTGTTTCATTTTCATCGAGGTTTTCGTATAACAATGTAAACAAATGTAGAGGATAAATATTGCAAATAGTGATATATCATTTAATCAATCATAAACTACAAAGAAGACAAGCAAGTTATACAGAGTGGAACCGCCTTGCTGATTTCATTATAAAAAGATACGCGTCATCTATTTGGAATAACAGTTGACTTCAAACTTCACGTTTCTTTAAGGTTTAAATCTTGCAGATTGTCTTACTTTTTAAAAGATTGAATATATTCCATAAATGACCAATATATTTGAAAGCGGTAAATTTATATGATTACGATTTTTATTGATTCTCGCAATATAAAGATATGTTTATGGTTTAGACAACATGCCATGATCATCCTGCATGTGCATGCATGTGCATGCGCATGCAATGCCGTATGACGTATAGTTCACGTCATTGTAGCCTTTATATCTAATTCTTTCATGAAATCCCTCGATACTGAGCATGTTAAAAAGTCTTGAAGGAATATAGCACTAAAAGGGTAGTTTGAGAGCGTTCGGGGAGCATCTGTAACTATCTATGTTAAAATTAACATTAGTTTAGATTTAAGTTAAGAAGTGATCAGTTAACATTTCTCAGAATTATGAATAAGTAAACATGCAAAATTATATTTTCACAAAAAAAAACATAAAAAAAGTTTTGGAAAAAACATGTTACCGTATGGTAGCTTAAGTAAGTTAAGCAAATGTAAGAAAGACTTCAAGGTCAAAAGGTCAAAAACGTTGATGTTCAAATATTAAAGGTCTTATCACAATAAATGCACCTGTGAAATATTTAAGCCCCGTGCGTTGGGCTCAAAAGTTATGGTCAGGGTTAAAGTTTTAAACTAACTCGATAAAACTCTAAGGTCACAGTTAACAGGTTAAAAAGAATATTGATTCTCATTGAAAGATCTTATGCCATTGAATGCTCCAATAAAGAATGAAAGCCCCAGTACCAACTGTGTAAACGTAATGGGAAAGGTGAAGTTTTGATATTTTTTGATAAAAGTCGGTCACACTGGAAGTTCAGAGTCAAGGTTAAGTTGGTGGTACCCAAAGAAAGGGCATGTCAAAGAAAATGCACCTGTGATATATGAAAGTTACAGTCCGACCCGTTCAACAGCTATAGGTAAGGGTAAACTATTTACTTACAAACAATTAGACAGACAGAAAGATGTCCAGACAGAGAAACAGCTAGAAAAACTATATTCCCCCGAATCCTTTATTACGGGGGCATGAATATTTTATAGTTTACTTATGACAAACATACAAAAATACGTTTTCTGTGTTTTAAAAAACATGGCTGTCATTAATTTTGTATATCTTTATAAAACATGATAATTATGTTTTAATTACAGTTGTGGCATTCAAATCTTTATCAAGTGAAGTTCTGTTAATTTGTGTGTACATTGAATATATTAATTCTTTTCAGCACAAAACTTTAATTCTTCATGCCTAAAATTGTCTCCGCACAAAAATACAGATGAATCTTTCAATGCACCGAGAAACACTAGTGCCTGACGTGTTCTGATAAAGAAACAAATAAAAAAAACCCAAAAGAATGCATTTTGCATTAAAAAAAAATAAAATAATAGAAAAAGATGCCAAACAAGGTGAAGGTGAGAGAATCCCACGTCAGATATGCATGTCTCTTGTCGCATTCCACGTAAAATTATTGAACCATCTTATCCCCTATAAATAAAGCGGGGGTAAAAAAAACTCTGGACTACTGTCGTGAACACGATGTCGCAGAGTACTAAGCAGAGAGTGGCGGTGATAGGGGCGGGTCCTGCAGGCCTCTGCTGTCTCAAGGTAACAACAGACATTTTTTATCTGTTCCAGGTTATAGTCACTTTGCCTTGTTTGTTTACTTCCATACGTATTTTGCACTTTAAAGATTTTCATTTGCTAAACAGATGCGATAAATGTCTTGATATATTTGAATATAGCTTATTTGTGCCTTTACCAATAAGAAAAAAATACTATAACTGAGCAACGTGTCTAAAGTCATATTTCAGGTGCTCAATGTTTTTATTTTTTTAAATAGTGATGTACACGTGGAAAGGTGATTGAATATTTAATATATCAATATGTTAACTCCAAAATGTTTAAATGGAACATTAAAAAATCGGATATTTTTGTTAATTTTGTAGAGTAAGCGTATGTATATTACAAAATTGAGCAGAAATAAAACAGAAAGTAGCCAAGAATTTCCAGGGTGCAGTAAAATCTAATTAATATCTTAGCATAATATTGTTTAAGGACAGACGAGACGTTCCTTCATAATAGATAAATTTTTCTAAGAGTTTGTCATTGAAGTATTGCTACTTAAACATGTTTACTAACAAAAAATTGAGGTACCTTACCAGGCATTTCTGCAAGATACTAGGGGTAGTTTTTCTTATATAATCCTTTGGGGCAAATAAATAATTTTCTAATTTCAAATGTTTAAGCGTTTGGATCTTTTAAAAACGTTTAGAAACTGGTCTAGAAATCAGAATGTTATTAAAATTTTGAACATTTTTCATACATTACGAAGATATACAAAACAGATTTTGAGGAACGTCTCGTCTGACCTTAAATACGGGTCCAACGAGCAGAATAAGAAATCTTTGTGCCCTACAATTAATAAAAAGATGCAAGAACCAAACCTAATAAAAGAAATTAGCTCGCGGATCGCGATCGGAGAAAAAGTGTATTATTTTTGCAAATTGTTTTCAAATAACTTTGGAATACTTGATTTCCAGACCTCTCATTTTTGCGATAGACATTTATCCCTTATCAGGTTAATAAGCGAAACAGATGCTTCACGAAACACAGTTTATGTTCTTTAGGAATACGTATTTCGCCAGCTGCATGATATTTTCTCTAGCACAATGGCTCTCTAATTAAACGAAAAACAAGTTCTCGCGAAATAAAAATTGATTAACAAACTGTACATTATAAAGAATAAAAAATTAAGATAGTTATGTTTCTTCGGTTAGCATCCCTTTTATAGTAATTATACCAATATCACTAGGATATGGTGTTAATGTCTCTCGGTTGATTCAAAGGTTGCTCTAGGTAAGGCAATTCTAACCGTGGGAATTTATTGAAAAAAGTAGATTTCAGAAACAGGCATATCACTTGTCTCGTTTAAAGTCATTATTACGCAATTTCTATGATCGATGCAATGACTTGCAAATAAATGCATCATGATGTCTTATCCTGACTGATGTTTTTCAGACCAATTCTTAGGTAATAATTTACACACCGAATTGTCTACAAATTTTCCCATTCTACCGTTCATGTCGAGGAACACGGTGCGTGTGTGACAGTTCAATGGGTAATGTTTATTCTTTCATGACATTTCTCAATTTCATAGAATTAGCAGTTAAGTAATTAAAAATACTCGTAAAAGCCTCTCTGAATCCACAAAGATATGTATTTATTCACAGGATTTCTTTAAAGTTAAATATTAAAGTTAATCGTATTATATAGGGAAAATTGTCAAATCTCATATATTTTTGCAGGAAAAGCGAATTGGAAATATCGGCAATGCAATTTCTAATTTCAAATTGATCATCAAAAATATTTTAGGTTTAAATACAATACGTATTAAGGCATTCAGAGAAATTGTCATGATTTTTTAAACTTATTTTGTATGTATTTTCTTCTTTTTAAGCCATGTATTCTATAATACATAGTGTAAAAGGCTTTGGCTATCATAGCAAGATACCGCAAATCACTTTTATTTCATAACATGCAAATAAGCATTGGTATCTGAGGCTGGATTCAAGAAAATCTTATTTTTATTCTATTTTTAAGACTTTCAAAAACCTTGAAACATAAAGATAAATAAAATGAAAATTGTTGCTTGAAAAGATTTCATTTTCATGCTTCATTTTGATGCATTTCAAATTAAATATTAATTTTTGGAGTTATCCTTCCTGGCTGAGGATCGAATATTATTAACCCATTTCCGATGTTTTCCAAGATCTTTATTTTTCTGCTACTAATATGCATTTTTAGCTGGTTTGACATTGAGCGGAAATAAAGTTCTCGAGGGTTGTTTTTTCCTCCATTACATTTAATCCATCTCCTATGTTTTCGCGGGCATTTTAGGAAGCATATTAAACTATTCTTGGGAAAGTGAAAGGAAATTTAGTTTGATAATTTACCAAAAATGCTGATAAACGCAAACTTTTATTAACTATTGCATAAAGATAAAAGATGTGCACCACAAGAACAGCATCACGTGACTTCTATTAATAGCGAAATGTTTTTTTAATAAACAAGCCAACAGAACAACAATACCCCGGAGTTTGTTAATTTCTTTGAGTAAAAATATAGTTGAAAAATCTATTTTGCCTAAAACGTGCTTCTAGAATCCCACTGTCCCGTCAGTAAAATGATTATTCCACACAATTCGCACTAAAACTTAATTACCCGATGTTTTGAAATTTATACATATGAACCGAGATTTTTCGTAAAAACAAGCTAACTCGTGATTCTAGCAGCACTTTCCAAGAATTTTAGAAGGCAAACTTTCCATTTGTACAAATCGTATGTTTTGGAATATCCAGCTTAGTGTTGTTCTGTTGCATTATTTTTGTCACGAATGACAGAGGAAGGCCGAACAGGATAAGTCGATAGCTGACTGTCTTAGAAAGAGAATATAGTCGATGAAAATAGATAAGCATACATGTTTAATTAACTGAATTCCATATAAATTTTACATAATATTCACGAAATTTGCTTTTATACTCCATTTTACACATCTTTGTACATGCCGTCTTAACCAAATTCTCTTTACACATGATCAATTCCCAAGCTAAGTGGTGTACACATATGATGTCATCGGTGGTAGATTTTGATTAAAATGACAGATACAACATAACAAAATTAAAAAAAAAACATTTTATTTTTGTTAATGTTTACAGGTTTCCATTCATTTTCTTGATTTAATTTACATCTCTAAAAACCAATATTGCGAAAAATTTTCTAAAATTGACGTCATCTCTCCTACTATGACGTCATGATATATCACTGACAAAGTCAAGGGATAACATTCTGTATGCTTCCTTATCACCCCTGCGAGAGAACTTTTTCTCTGATTTCAGTCTGAATTTTATGGACTTTTAGGTGATTGCTGTGTGTTACCTCCATATCTAATTCCTTTCATTAAATGCTTCTGCATAAATATTTTCATTTTTTGTTTTCTCTGTGATAACTCTTTGAAAGTTTGTAGACTTTATCCTTCTACTAGAATAATAAATTTGCCAATTTCGCCATTGGTGTGGAAATAGGTCAGTAGCTGAGGAAGCCTTACATGTTTATACATCTCGTGTGTCAGACTTTGTGTTTGACATCAATTGACGAGGACTATTAAAATCAACAAGGGAAGCCTCTTGTAATTTGAAATCTATTACATTTTTAAAATCTAACTTTACAATTTTGTTTCACAATGAATGGAAATATTTTAAATCAATATCTAGTCAACAATGTAGTAAAGTACATTTATGCCTGAGACATCAACGATAAGTTCGAAACGCAGTATATTTTTTTTTCCAATTATCCCATATTCCAACTATCGTTGATGCCCTGGCATACTCTAATGACTATAGTAATTCCTTAAATAATTATTTGTAGGATTACGGTGTAAGTATGGTAAATATAACACATTTGATGTTTGAATACTGTATGTAAACACAATTAAAATGCCTATATTTGATTCATTGATTGATGAATCACTGGTCAGGGAATCTTGCTTATCGGTAAGTACATGTAAAGTATTCATCGAGGTTTAAAAAAAATAAAGAGATTGAATATCGCAATAGGTAATATAATATTCAAGGACAGACGAGACGTTCCTCAATAGTGTATATTTTTTCCCAATATTTTGTCATTAAAGAATTACTACTTTAACATGTTTACTCTCAAAAAATTGAGGTACCTTAGCAGGCATTCGTACGAGATACCAGAGGATCGTATTTCTTATATAATCTCTTAGGAAAAAAAAACCTTAGTTTGCACAAAGCACACTTTTAGTGTTTGAATTTAAAAAAAAAATTAGAAACCAGTTAAGAAATCATAAAGTTATTAAAATTTTGTATATTTTTTTTTTATACATTATGAAGAATTACAAAACAGATATTTGGGGAACGAATCATCTGACCTTAAATGAACCTTCAGAACGAGCGCAGACTTTCACAGTTGACGGCTTACATTCACACTAGGACATTGTACGGAAGCTCTATTATATACCATACAAATATTTAGCTCAACATTCAATTCAACAAAAATTACTTGTACTTTAAAAACAGAAATAAGTTGTCCTTGAAGAAAATGACAACAATCCTACAATTAACTCCCAACCGTCAGAAGTAAGTGCCCCAAAAACCATACCAAGTCTTATGACCACTAAAACGGAAAGGTTTCCGAAGGTCTGTCGACATGGTCTTCAAATATCTATTTTAAATCTCTTCATAATATATCAAAAATAGTCATATTAATTGTCATTCACGGATCAACCCTAGTAAACAGAAAAAGGTTTGTAAAGAAAGCAAGCAGGTTGATCTTTTGAATATTTAAGAAAATGTTAATACAAGAATAAAGATAATCTATCTCTAATACATGTAAATACCATTATCTTTACAGCACCTGTGTGATAATCGTGACGTTTTTGAACCGGTTGCATTTGAACGTAATTTTTGGCCTGGAGGTATCTGGAACTACAGTGACCAAACTAAGAAGGACGATTTTGGACTTCCCATTCACTCTCCTCTCTACAATAATCTAAAGTAAGTACGCAAATGCACTGATTTATTGCATAATTTGAAATAAGAGAGTTTAACAATTTGCAAATGCCATTAGCAGTTTTAGCATGACTTAATATCAGCAAACAATATACTAACATTGAACACATTCTTAGCTGAGACTAAAACATCAGTTGCTTAGCTGATTTGATATTAGACAAACACAAGATCTAATTTTTTAAAACAAAATGTGGGGGGCGACTGACCAAGAGGGATGCTGACTATAGTCATACTAAAAAATTCTGTAAAGCTGGTGAAATACTTTCGTCGAGCCTATTTGTCAGATATCTAACCGCTTGCCTGATGACGATTACAGGTTGTATTAACATGATTAACGAGAAGTTCTTTACTTATGATGTATATTTGTAGCAGGTTTAAAAAGAACAATGTGATGCTTTACTGAAATCATGTCAGATAGTCCAATTCAGAGGGGGAAAAAACCTTAGTTCGTGGTGTGCTCACTCGATGATCGGAAAGTCTTTGTTTTGTAGCTGTGATTGACTGAAGTCGATAAAAATACCGTCGTAGCAGCTTCACTTTCTTTGCCGATTGCACGGAGTTGAAAGTGAAGTGATATATTAAATTGGATGTAAAACAACAAGTTTATAATAAATTGATAAGAGAAAAAGAAATTATAAGGTACCTAAAATATCAAATTTTTAAAAACTCTTATTCTCGAAATTAAAAAGAAACTTTTAACAGAAAGGCTGATGAAAGTTTCAGCACAGACTTATGACGCATTTGAAAAGTGACGTCAGAGTTGTTTGAAAGGTGATACTTGTATTATTGTGTATGCAAGAGACCGACAAATATCATAAAATCCACCAAGTGCACTGAATAAATTATCGAGTCAAATGCTGACAGACGATTTTCGTGTTAATTGTTGGTCCATTGTTTATACACTAAACTGACAAAAGATTTTCGGTTATTTTCCGATTATGACAAGGAGCGCATGGCGGGTGTGATAGGTGAACAGTGGAAGCTCACTTCTCCATTGCACCTGATCCCACCTCTGATGTTTTGGAGGTCCGTGCTTCCTTTACTCCTTTTTTGTATTGGACTTTGATATTGAATACTGTTTGTTATTTTGTTTTGTTTATGGACTTTGATATTGAATATTGTCTGTTATCTCCACATCCTGCATCGACTATAAAGAATACAAATAAATATTTCACTTTGAATATTAATTTCCATTAATTGGAAAACTCCGAGTAAAATGTTTTGTCAGTTTTACTCTACAAATATTCGAATAGAGATTTATAAAATGACAACTTATACTATCATAATTACATTGATCATCAGCTTAAACGCTTCACATTATAAACTCTAAAAATAAGCTGAATAAATAGTGTTTACTTATGGACGCTCTAAACACTGCACACTAAAGAGCTCTATTTATAGGGTAGTTTTATTCAGTTAGAGTGATTTACCATTAGATGTAAGATCAAAAGAAATTGTTATTTACAGTTAATAGCATAATTTGTAATAGATGAAAAATATTTTAGCATTATAAAAGGCCAAGAGTTAGAGATGTAATCAATCTATTTCATTAATTTTCCCAATGTAAGTAAACAGCATTTATTTCTGCTCACAAATAGTCCTTGTCTTTGAACATTTTTCCTGCACAAACGAAGCACGTACCCAATGTTCTAAATGAATGAAAAAGTCTCAATATGCGTAATATTTTTATATGATATATTTTTCTCTGGGTCCAAAAAAAAAAAAAAAAAAAAAAAAAAAAACAGTTTCTGCTAGAGTTTAGAGCTTCCTTAACCTCAACGTTTAATGTACAAATGACAATGGCTCCTGGGGTATACTTTTGCAGAATCAATATTCCTAAAGAAATACAAGAGTTTCCGGATTTTCCCTATCCCAAAGAATGGACGACGTCGTTCATTTCACGACAACAATGCCTTCAATACATTAACATGTTCGTAGACCACTACAAGCTGAGGCCATACATAAGGGTAAGCGTTAGCCTATGTCGACTGAGATCAACTAATTAAAGTTTTGATACAAAAAGATTTCTAATATTTTTATATTTATGCATGTATAATCATTCTTTGCGGTAAAAATGACGAAAAATATCAACAGCAAAACTAGAGTCTCGGAAGTGAGAACCTGCTAGTTTTGGGATATTCTTTATAAGAAAGATTCCATACGGAGATTTATCAAGAACTTTGTATCTCATATTTTCGTAGTGGATAAATTTTCGTTGTTTTCGAGGTAAAGAGAGACCAAAGAATATATAGCTATATTGTACCACGAGATGTGAATTTCCATATGCACAACTATTAAAGCTTTTTCCAACCACAAAATTAAATCCTCATTTTTATATATTATTCAAAACTCAAAAGTATTTTTAAAGGCGTATGGAATGCAAAACTACAGACAATTACGTACTTGACTGATATCAGCGGTAAATATCATTTAAGGGTTTAAACATGCAGAGCTTTATCTTTTACAGACGCAAACTTTTGTTCGAGATGTCAAACCACTTAAAGAGACCCAGGAAAAGAGCCTTGTTAAATGGCTGGTAACATTTTCTCCCGTGAACAAGTTGTCTGAGATCAAAACGGAAGTTTTCGATTCAGTTCTCGTATGTAACGGGTATAAAACTTTTTTCTTACATATTTAATACTAAGTATGTCAAAAACCCAACTTAATCATTGTTTAAAAATACATTCCAAACTGATTTGACTCTACAAATAGATAACATTTGACACATTTTAGAAACCACAATGGTTAATATTTCCACCCATTGTATTACCTTTTTAGCTTACATTTATCATTTTCCTTTAGACGTTTGATGTATACCTACAATCCTGTGGGTGAAAACGCCATTTTAAATGTTGACAAAATTGTAGTCTTTACATCAGAAAAAAATAAACCAGTAACACTTCATCTGCATTCAATTCTTTATATTTCCTGCTATAAATTTCAGACATGACACCAACGAGTACACTCCAAATGTTCCAGGAATGAAATCATTCGAGGGAAGAATTATTCACAGCAAGGATTTTCGATACGAGGAACACTTTGACGGTCTTAGAGTTGCTATCCTGGGGTGCCATTTCTCAGGGGAAGACATTTCTATGCATGTCTCAAAGTTTGCTAAAAAGGTAGTAGGCTTGAAAAAGATTGTGTTTTTTTTTCCAGAGAACATCCCATTATTCTTTTTTTTAAAACAAGGTCTTTTGAAAGTTATTTGCACATCTGAAGCCGTTGTTGAAGTGAGCTTTTTTTTAAAATGTGTGTTGTCAATGATCATTCTCTGTCGTTAATATACGTTAAAAAAAAGTTCGAGATTTTAACTGATTATTGCTTATACCTATACCTTTTTAAGGTTTTTGCATGCCACAGACGAGATCCAGAGGAATTCCCGCCGTCTTTCCCTAAAGATATAGAACAAAGGCCCCCGTTTGTCCGAATGACAAGGGATTCAGTTGTGTTTCCCGATGGCTCTTCTGAAAAAGTGGATGCAGTCATATTCTGTACTGGATATCGTTATTCCTTTCCTTTCTTTAAAGAGGACATCATAACGATAAAAGACGAACGCATCCAGCCCATATATAAACACATGGTTCACATTGAATACCAAAACCTGATTTTTCTTGGGATTCCTCGTCAATTGACCTACTTTCCTCACTATTATGGAATGGCAAAACTTGCGGTATTGATACTTGCTGGGAAAGCCAAACTACCAACAAAAGAAAAGATGAGGGCTGATAGTGAAGCCGATTTCCAGTCTCGTTTGAAAGATGGAAAACCGCCATCCTTTGCCCATTACATGGGAGATATTGATAGGCAATTTCGGTACAACAAGGAACTTGCAAAGTGGGGAGGATTTGATCCGCTCCCGCCCGTTGTCCAGATGATTTGGGATGACGTAATGGATGAAAGATACATGAATCTTCCACACGTAAACGAATTCGACTATCGCATTACTGGGCCTAAATCGTATATATGCTTGAACCCAGAAAAGGTTAAATCCAGAAAATCAAAGGCTGAGAATGTTTTAAAAGGAAAGTAATCGTAACATCCCTAACAATACATACATTCATCAACACTTTTAGTAACCAAAAATGTTTAAACGCAGAGTTGCAATATAGCCAAGACATTTCTCTCTATTGGACAATTGATATGATTTTTCATTGTTCAACAGCAATGCAAAGTGTTCAATTTTCTTAAATTGAAAAGTAATTTATACGAAAACATATGCTGACATATTTTAATAAAAACTGGAAAAAAAACAGTTTAGCATTTAACATATATAAACTTTCAAGCAGAACACCTAGTTATATTTGTTTTATTGAAATAAAGAATAAATATGTTTTAAAGTAAGATATGACCATGATAGAAAATTTGGCCTTGTACACGTATGACAATAAAGATTTCAATTTTGTAATCTACATAGGTATAAAGGATTTCCTATTCAAACTCTTAGAAAGAAAGTTAGGCCTTTGTGCATGTAACCTTTGTTTGACGTATTTTACCATGTTTATTAGACATTGATTAATAAATTATACACAGCAATCTTATTATGCTCTCCATATACAATACCTCTGTAGAATATTTTAGTTTCAACTTGATATATTTGTTTTATATTTTACAATGTATTAACTTTAAATGTTTTATTATAATTTGTTGTTTCGGTTTTTTTTCTTTTTAAGAAGAACTAAATTTGATCAAATGAGTTTTGCTGTGTCTTAGAATGAGCATAAAAGATTATAGTTCTTTGCGTTTTTTTCCCTATTTTTTTCTTGTAAAACGCCATGCTTGTATATATAAGAAATATCATATTTCAAGATATTTGTACATTATGATTTTAAAAAAAAGCAACTCAGATCTTTTTTATATAGGCGTTATCCAAAGCTTAATAAATGTTAAAATGTGAATGGAATCTACTTGTTTAATCTTTATTTAGGATTCCTGAAGCTTTAAATGTATTTAAAGATAAATCTGCGGTGCAAGGTCGGTTTTAATTTTCATTTACAAGTTATGTACTTAAGTACAGAAATTTATATATAAGAATTCTCTTAAGTAGATAAAACCATATTTGATATGATATCACTTGACTTCGTAACTTATTATAGGTGGCCAGCTATGTATGTGCGTGTTTGAAGTAGCATGTGAACATTATGGCATACTGAGGCCTTCGAGGAAATTCTACGTACTAAGGTGTTGAAGGCTAGAGGGACGTGCGACTGTTGGACAGTATCGCAACCGTGTGTATGAGTAACCAACGTCGGTGTGTCTACGACCAGTTTACGGTAACGTCTTGGGTCAACCTTGTGGTCTCGACAGTCAGTGGCTTCGATTTTGATTTTATTCGTATATTGCAATGAAACATTTGTCGGGTCTGGTATGACGTTATTATAGTCGGTATATTGATACTGTCAATATTATTTTTGTTGTTGTTGTTGTTGTTTATTATTATTTTTTTTATTTGTGCGAGTGCTGTAGATGTGCGTGTTGTGTGTGTGCAGATGTTCTATATCTTGTTTTGAACACTTAAATAAACTCTTGTTTGCACGTACTCTTTGTTCTTTTTCAAAGCTTAGTTACAGCGAGGGATTATTTCCAAACCATTTATCAAAAATTGTGACACTATCTGTTAGTCCATTATTTATGTGTACTGAATGGACGATAGATTTTTCGTTAATTCCCGTCCATGACAAGAAGCACTCAGCGGGCGTGACCTGTCGGCCGGGGATTAGCACTCCTCCATACTCATTGCAACCAATCACGCCTCTGATTTTTTGTAGATCCGTAGTTGCTCTGATCCTATTTTGTATTTTTTAAAGAAAACTGATTTTGAATACTGTAAGTTATTCCATATTTTTACTCCACTTTTTAATCGGACAATCTCGTATACGTCAAAATTTGCACCTATCCGTAGCATCTAGTGGTATCCCCATATGAATGAAAAACTCTCTCGCGGGACGTTAAACGGCATACTAATTATCAACAAAATACAAAACCTAGAGGTTACCTATGCAAAAAGTTTTTTTAATTGAAACTTTCAACAAAAAATGCAAATTTTGAACATTTGAGAATGCAGAATTATTGAATGGAAAATATAGAGATAACGAACAGTATTCAAGATCAAAAGTCGACAAAACAATACAAAATACAATACAAAATAGGAACAGAGCATACGCCGACCTTCAAGACATCAGAGGTAGGATCAAGAACTGCAAGACAAATTTCTTATAACTGAAAGATAACTAGTGTTGCTAGTATATTGAAATAGTTGCCCTTGTTATTTTTGCTCCGGGAACGCAGCGGACAAAGATTGTTGACACTAGAGCATCGATGGAAGAAAAACATTTTTAAGGTGTGAGTTCGATGGGCTTTACTTTACGCAGGTACCTTAAGGCTTCCCAGAGAATTCCGCAGTCTGCTCTGTGTCTTCACTTCTCTGAACTACAAATGTATGACGTCATAACTGAAAATGACGTAAAGTCACTGCAAACTTGAACTGTTTTGCTTGGGAGAGTGTCAAAAAATTGACTCCTCATTTCAATCTGCGTGTAAAGTGTATGATATAAAAGTGTTTAATTCCTTTTTTTTAAAATCTGACTTATCTGAATTTTGTGTTATTACTCATGTTTTAAAGGCAGCGTGTTCAAAATATACAGTATACGAAAATGAAGGTTTGACAATAACCCCTTTTCACATCCGAGGGTAAAAGTAGAATTTATCATATCTGTATGGAAGAGCCTTGAACAGGTTATTACAATGTAATTAGGATGTAATTGAGTTCTTTTGTAACAAATCTGTTAGAAGAGTTTCCCTTCTAACCGAATTTAGCTTGAGGAAAATTGGTGAAGGCTTTGTTTAAATACAAATGACGAGACTGAGGGGGAATTACCCTAGGAGTTCTCGGTAGGTTGAACTTTTTGTGAAATATTTTGTACCTGAGTAACATTACATTTTTTCCCAAGCATATTTCCGGTTAACAAGGATAAGTCAAGTGTAATTTACGAAACAAAAAGTTGATAATAATTGTTTTAATCAGCCGCACCTAAGCGATTAATGAGAAACATTTCAAAAATTAAATCTGACCGTCACGTGATATACGAATAACATATTATTTCAAAGTCTGGGTTTCCATAGTCGGTAAAAAAAAAACGTATTCATATGGAATGCCTTAGTATGTAAGTTATATTACTGTAAATAACGTTTTATTCGCAAGAACTTTATTTTTGCGTAATTACGTGAGACAATGAGCTCGCGAAATTTTCATTCTCGCGTTTAAAAGTATTCCATACGATTATATAGAGGAAAAACAACAATTCGTGAAAATTATGTCTCGCTTACAAAGAGCCAATGACTATCTCGCGAAAATAAGGTGTCGCGAAAATTTAGTGATCTACAGCATCTAGTATACATAATACTTTAGAAAATACTGTGAAATAATAACTTTTTCTTTAAAAAAAAAGCAAAAACACGTAGCCAACAAAATATACAGTTCAAACTCACCGCTGCCAAAAATCTCAACATTACTTTATAGCCCACACAGGAAAGCTTCTCAAACACTCACAAAACATTCAGGCCTGATGCACACAACTATTTTACGCGACCACACAGGTCATACGATATTTTCTCTAGGAAGGACACACCTTCTCACTTCTACGGCCTGCTCAGAACTCACTTACTTGTCAACAAAATTTTAAAAACTGGTCTGACAACCGTGACCAGCTATCCGTAACGACTATACGGTGAGAATGAAATGATGGTACGCCATAACCATCATTAGTAAAATGAAAATTGTGACAGCTAGTATGAAAAACGTCAGTCTGCATTAATATTTGACTTGCTGATAAATTGTGTTTGTGTATTCTTCCTGCATGGAATTCCTTTGATTCAGAAAGAATAAATTTTATATTCGTTTATTACTATCATATTTTTTTTTGAAAAATACAGGTATAAAAGGCCCAATGGCCTCTTGTTGCTTTACTGGATCTGTAGTAGTGTTATGGTCAAAGACTAATATATAAAAACATAAGGCTACAGTTCTGCAGCTAGTATACACCATGCACACAATATATATGCAGTTATATGCTATGAGATTACTAAATATACATTGTAGAATAAAATGGCATTACATTTGACAAAGCAAATTATAGTCTGGTCCGATTTATAGGAAAAAAATACTTCTAACGGCAAATAATTATTATTTGGTCCAGCATAGTTTTTTAACCTAATTCGAGTATGCTGAATCCGAAAAAATATGCTGGCCTTCATGAAAATGGCGTTAAAGAGGTCAAAATGGCGACAATCCAATTTTTCTAATTTTCTCTCAATATCGTTAAAAAGCGAAAAATAATGTGTGAATATCTTACTGAGTGTTATAAAACTTTCAAAAATATAATAGAATGCTAACATTATTAGTTTTACTCAGAAAATTTAGCCGTTTCTACACTTAATTCGAATTTTCTCTGATTTATTTGTCTATTGTTCTACATTCTGCTTTGTTCAGGATTTTACATTTGCAAATATCCATACACTGCAAATGTGTGTTTTTTCCTCTACATCTCGATCACTATTCTACAATTGAATGATGGTGCAGCTGTAAGTTAAAAGTCAAAATGGCGGATATTCCTTTTTTTCAAATTATTTCTTAATGTCGTTTACATAGGAGAAAGGATTTATAAATATCTTACTAAGCTATTACAATTAACTAATGTAAAATTCCAAAAGAACACTAATATGATCACTTTAAATCGGAAAATTTAGTCGTTTAAATTCAAAGTGTCTTAATTAGCTCAAAATGGCGATTCAAAATGACGTCATATTCACTTGAAATTTGTAAAATACTCAAACTGCTTAATATTGAGTCTTTATGCAGAAAATAAATTACAGTTTGTTTTATACATATATAGTATATTGATTATTCCATTAAATATGAACAAACAAAAAATACTAGAAAAGATTCATTTTTTTTTCTGGAAGTAGTTAAAACAAACTCGACTTACATGTAGGAGTTTTCAAATTTCCCCCCTCGTATTTGACCGTGTTCCAAAGCCTTTGAGCCCCCGTCCACCCAAAATCATTCCTGAATCCTGTCTTTATCAACTCGCATTTCAACCTCAACATCCCTCAGCACACCATCAAATATATCTGAAGAAATTCTTGAAATGTCCGATTTCATCGAATACTTTGTTCTAGCTTTTTAGCACTTATAAGAACTTAGTATTATCGACTAACATCTTCTATTCCAGCTTTATTTGCTATACTGTAAATCACTTTTTATTCGCGAGAACTTTATTTTCGTGTAATTACGCGAGAAGGTATGCTCGCGAAAATTTCATTCTCGCATATAATAGAATCCCGTAAGATTATATAGAGCAATGACCACAATTCCTGAAAATTTTGTCTCGTTAATAAAGAGTCAAGGACTATCTCGCGAAAACAAAGTGTCGCGAAAAATAAGTGATCTACAGTATGTTTCAGTCTGTCTTCGGAATTTTGGTATTTTCAACACTCAAGTAAAATGGTGCCCCGTGTCAAGGGTGACAACCCACATGGCACGAAAAATATCTTTTCTCTGGAGTTTGAAAAAGAGTAAGCTCACTGGGGGCCGCCAGAGAAACCAAAATCCTTCAAAGACCGATTATTTAAACTGATAGTCCGCCGAAACATGGCTGAAAAATTGCCGACTCGGCATTCAACAATATACAATCAATCAATCAACACTCAGTGAACAACACATTTATGTTTAAATGTTAAAAGTCTATTTTTATCCAATAGCTTATGCAAAATGAAGAAGAGGTACTGTGAGCAATTAGCTCACTAAATGATACCCCCTACTCCCATCTGAATATAATAATGAATGTGTCCATGTTTTGCTATGTGAAATCAAAAATAATGTGTTGGATCAAAAAGTAAAATAGGAGGTACACAATGGCAATATGTAATAAAGATTCTGTGAAAGTTTATCGAATTTTATTCAGTGGTATGAGAGGAGTTTTGGATAAGAGATGGGTACCCCCAAAGTGTAAAAGACTGACAGACGGACGGACATACCGATTACTCTATATCCTCCCGCTTTTCAAGCGGGGGGGGGGGGGTATTAAAAAAATCTCTGATATTCAAGACATGTAGCTCTTTATTTCGTGACCGCGTATAGATTTGTTGTCTTTTAGGATAGAAAGATCATTCTATTAGCAAGGCAAGAAAATTCTCAAACGTTATCATCTGGAATCACATTGTGCATATTTTGGTGAGAAAAGTTACATATAATTATGCAATTTAAGTGCGCCTGCAGATTCCTTGTCATTCCAATCACTTACAAGCTTTCGTACCAATAGGCCTAAGCCATTTTTGACTTCGATCTAGTCAACACTTCTCTTGACAACAAAATATTCTTGAACACTTCTTGAACACTCCAAGAACTTTACAAGGCAACCTAATCCACTTCTTTGTTAGGATATTGTAAGATTGTATCAAGAATCGAGGGGAGGATTGAACATAA